ACTTCCTACTCAGAGTTCAGGGAATCGCAACTCTATTCTCAGACAACCTGAGGAAATTTTGAAGAAAAACCAAGATGTCTACTGAGCACCTATTATACACTAAGTGCTATAGAGACCTCAGCAGAGGGGCTTCTTTAGTACCTACAAAAATGAGATGAGGAATGAGTGCCAGATCACAGGGGAAAACACTGCCGAGGTTAGGTCTTTGTCACCTTTTTGCCCCTGGTGTCCCAGTATTTTGTACAATGAGATAGAAGGACTTTCTCCCACGGAGAAAGCAAAGGGAGATTTATTCCTTGAGGGACTCCTCCTTCAACAAAATAGAAACAAACAGCCTAGAGCGTTCCTCTGCAAGGTGGGAAGGAGGAGTTCAAGCAAAGGAAGAACGCTGCCGTCTGCCGTGGGCTCCTGGTCCAAAAGAGTTCAGAGAATGAGTCCTGAATTAGGAGCCAGGTTCCCACCCCTTGATTTGTAAAGTAAGGACAAGGGGTCATTTGCTCATCTCCCAGGGTCATTTCAATGACAAATGCACAAGAAGGAAAAGACCCCAAAAGCACTGAAACCGCCACTCTACCACTCCCACTGGCAACTAGAGAAAAGGGGTCCAAAGGCAGTCTTGAGGGGTTGGGCAGCCTCCCTCTAGCTAGACAGCGTGCAGGGAGCTTGGAGCCCCCAGACCCCAAAGTTGAGCAAGGCAGGCACCCCCTCAGTGAGAGGACTCGTGATTACAGTCTGTTCCAGGGAAGATCAATATGGCAGGAAAAGTCAGATGGATACCAGGGCATAGAACTCCGGCAAAAAAGAAAAAAAAATGTCACAGTTCAACTCAGATGCCACACAAATAGGCACTTCCCTAGTCTAAGGACCTTTGACCCCTTCTACTTTGCAAGTGGTCCCACATTCCCCTACCAAGACAGGCTCAACTCCTTGGCAGAGTCTTCTGTAACCTCATCGCCTGGTAGCTCCCTCTGGCCACCTGTACCTTGCACCTTCACCGTGGTCACAGAACTTCTGTGTGCCTCAAGATCTTCCAGCCGAGCCCCTTATCCTTTAGATGAGAAGATTCACAGCGGGGAGGGGAGGGGAGTGACAAATGGGGATTTTCCATTTCCCACCTCAGCTCTGTGTTTATGGCACCCCATGGCTAGGGTAAAAAGTTCACAGGTTGTACCTCCCTTCTCTGTCAATGAATCTTTCCTCTGGGATTGCTAGTTATGCATTATGTATTATTATTACACACATCAAATCATTAGTTGTGCAAATAGCTGGCAATTCAAAACAGGACTGTGGACAATAAGGGTTCGGCGATATGATTATACAACCCGAAATGGGGCACTTTGGACTCTGGTGGGGCCAGGTTTGTAGTCTTAGCCTGTTTAGATAATAACGCAGAAAGAAGCAATAGTAATTAAAGACACAGAGTACATTAGAAAAGGAGCACTCTTCATTTCTTGAGTCTGACAGAAAAGAGTCCCGGGCTGGAAGGGAAGCAGCGGTAGCAGCTTTACCACTAACGTGGGACTGTATGACTGGATACATCAGCTTCCCTTCTCTGGGCCTCTGTTTCCTCATCTGTAACTTGAAAAGTTTGCATGAGAACCCAAAGGGCTCTTCCAGTTCCAAGATTCAAAAAGAAACTTACAGGAAAGGTTGTTCAGTTTACAGAAAAAAAGGTGACTGTATCGTGTTGGCACAACACTGCCCCAAAATCAAAATGGCTCAAGTCCACTTTCAAAACATCAGTGCTCACCAACAGTGGGTGAAAAGGCTGCCTGACCCAGCTTCTCAGAGCGTCAGTGCCTCAAATCCAACGCATGGCAGTCGCTCTGGGGCCCCTGGTTCTAAGCTGGCTTTGTTATTTGTGGCTGACACTGGAAAGCCTCTGCACAAACAAGATGGCAACTGATGAGCCAGTCAGTCCTCACTGCCTCCCCAGCCTCTCTGAACCACCCTCGACATTTGGCCGGGAAGCAGGGGGCTTGGTGGAGGTGGGTGACCTCTTGAAGTCCTGGGCCAGGCCTGTGATCCTGTAATCTTTGCTTTACCGTAATTAGGGAGGGAGGCAGAAGAGTAGGAGGAGAAACCATTTATTACTTCTCTGGGATTTTGACAGCTTGGAAAAAGAGAGAGACAGAGAAACAGCCAGAGAAGGAGCCAGCCACAGTGAGTTTAACCTCTTAGTAAAATAAAAATGGGCTGGACGCACCTCATCAGCTGCCCTCTGTCAATACCCGGGCCCATCTGGCAGGACTCGAGGTTCCCAGCTAATTGGCATTTCCCATAGAGCCAGCAAAGGAGAGTTTTTAAAAAAATATGTGGTGGTGATGGTGGAGTGCGTGTGAGCGTATGCGCACGCAGGCTGAGGACTGCCACACTTCCCAAGGTGCTAGCTCTGTAGATCATCTATTATATAAAAGTACAGACAGTCCCCACCCCCACCCCAGCTTAAAGATGAAGAATCCAGCCTGTTTGTTCCAGGCAGATGTAATCACACGAACAGTCAAGTCTAGAGGGCAGGACACTGCATGAATAATTCAAGCACTCCAGTCACTTGATTGTGTGTGCAGATAAAACACCAGTCAACCGCTAAACAGGTCAGCTGATAAACTTGTTTGCTCAGGCCTAACCACCATTCGCCAAATGCACCCAAGACCCACACTACAATTAGTGGCAGGGCTTTCTTCTCCAGAACCCTCGCAAACCTAGGGAGTGGCCAACTCCATTAGGTTAGGGTTGCATTTCATGGCACAGGTTTCTTCACCTCCTTGCCTCTTTGTTCCTCCACAGCCACAGGGTGATTTCACCCAACTCAGAGACTGCCATAAGCTTGAGAAGCCACTGCATTCAGAGCACACATGTTCAGGCTGGGAACTCAGGCTAGAGGGCAAAGGTGAGTGGCAAGCAAGGTAAAGTGCCCAGTGGGAAAGCCAGAGGGCTGGATTTGAGTCCCAGCTCTGACTTCCTGGCCTCCCTGAAGCCACAGTTTCCTCACCTATAAAAAGGGGGCAAAGAATCCCTCTTTCCACCACCGGCAGTTGAGAGGATTAAATGAGACAACGTAGCCAAACCCCAGGCATTCTCCCCTTAAGAACCTTGTTTGGGGAATGGCCAGAAATCCCAGATGTACACAGCTGCTCTTTATATAAACCCCACCATCAAATGCGTTAAGATATTTAACTCTTCCTGCGTTCACAGCATCCCCAGGACTCACAGAACAGATCTGCTGCGAGCCAAGGTGGATTTCTTAGTGCCACAGCACCATCCATTCACAGACATGCGGAACACCACCCATGCAGACCTCAACATGCAACGAGACATTACACCTTAATTACCAAGCTCTTACAATAACTGCTGCTATAAATTTTAAACCTGGGTGCAATTACCTTCTTTAAACACACCCAAGATACTAAGCGTTGAGAAAAAAAAAAGAGGGGGGTAGACAAAGGGAGGAAGTGGCACCCTGCATACACCCCAAGGTCCTTGAAACACCTGGGACCCCAGTTCCATTTCAAGCATTCTTCCGGGACCTGGCCTGTTCCAGTCGCAGAACCTGTCCCGATTCTATTTTCCCGAGGAGAAATATCTTTACGTATAAAGCCCTGTCTGTTTATTATTTCTGTGTGTCAAGAAGTAAAAACATGGTAGCCTTCATATGCCTTCCTAAGGGACTAACTAATCCCTCAGGAAGCCACAAGTTGGCTTCCCACACATTGCTCAATAAACTCAGGCCCCTTTCTGGCTTCCCTTCACCCAACACTGGGGCTCCCTCCAGGAGGGGAAAGGAAACTACAGATCCCAAAGGCTCTACAGGAAGCCACTCAAGTGGGTAGGAATCTGCCCACTTTCCAGGGTCACCTGCCCTTCTCACCTGCCCTGGGTCCTGCCTCCTTAAAGAGCAAAATTGAAACCTTGTAAACGACTGTTAATTTACAGCAGAAAATCCATTCAAGTCACGGTCACCAAAGGCTAGAATGAGTCAACAGTCTTCTGAGATTTCATGAACACCAATTGTTAAAAAGAACAACCGGCCTGCCTGCTCCATTTATACGTGCCAAGTCAACTCTAATCGTTGGCCAAGCCAAATTATAGGCAGCCTTTCCTCAGAACACAAATACACAAACAGGCCTCTCCCACAGCCCAGCCTAGCACCGGGACTAGTTACTGATATGCACTGAGATAAAGGGTGTTTGTATTTGCTCGGTTTGAGGTATACTGTTATTAGAAGAGTGACAATACCAGGTAGTTTACATATCCATCAAACGACACCACACTAGCTAAACTGGTTTGACTTCAGGATTTCAAAGCTGAGCTCAACCCCCAGCCATCTCAAAAGTCCTGGCTAGGCTGCCCCTGGGCAAGTTACTTCACCCAGGAGCTTCAGCTTCCTTCTCTGTAAAATGGGAATTCGGCTGCCTTTAAATCAAGACAGAGATGAAAAAACCACCTTGTCAATGCAAGGCATTAAAGTTGTATTTCATTCTGGCTTTATATTTTTAAGCAGTTAGCAGCTTCATTCCCTTAAATTTCGACAGCTCAGCCTGGCTTTTAAGGCTCTTGAAGTTTAATCTTATCAACGCAGAACATCACATTTTTGCAAAAAGAAAAAAAAGAGAGAGAGAAAGAAAAAAAAATCCTCCTGTATTTCCTCTTGAGAATTTTACATTAAAACAGATAAAAGCAGCCAGCCACCTCTGGGCTTTCAGGAGTTTGTAAAGCAGATCCTGGAGGTACAACTTTCCCTTTGGTCCTTTATCCTCCACCAGGATCCAAGACCAGGACTAATTTCACAAGCTCGAATGCTAAAAGCTCAACGTGTCTAAAAAAAAAATCAGCAAAGCCTCAGACCTTGCATTTCAAGGACTTGATCCATTCACTCTTCAAGGAGAAGGGGGAGGAATAGAAGAACCAGGCTCATTTTCAAACAAGAGAGAACATAAGACGTCCACATATGTAAGTTTTTAAAAAATGAAATATATTTTTCAAAAGAGAAAAGCACTTACCTGCTTGTGCATTTCAATGTTCAAGCCATAGGACATCTCATAGTACTAAAAGTAAAAAGAATGGCTATTAACAGACAACACAGAAATCTGATCATTTTTGAAAATCAGTTTTTTCTTGGAAAGGTTTTGCCCAAGTCATACTTTTACAATACATTTGCTAAAGAAGTTTAAATCAAACCCCAAAGCCAGCTTACAGAGCGGTTTAAGAGCTGACAAGGGCGAGTGTTCCTCTCATCTCAACAGAACGTTATATATGTGGTAGTAAGGGGAGCTGCGTCCTCCCTCCCACAAGCACCACATGTGCCCTATATCCTGTTTATACAAGGTTCAGGTTCAACAGGGAATCGTGTGTACACTGGGACCCTCTTGTCCTCTGAGAGTTATTTAGCACTGTGTCGAAGGCCTCTTATGTGGAAAGCAGTGCAGGCAGCCGTGCCCTCTCACAAATGAAGATTAAAACTTGCTGAAACGGACACTGGGCAAAAGGAAGACAGTCTGCCTACTGCCCCAGCGTGGACAAGATACCCAGCTGGGGGATCCCTGAGGAGGGGAGTGAAAGCAGAAGGCTTTATAAGGCCTCTCCACTCCTCACAACATCCTGGGGAAGGAGGGCTTCTGTCCCCCTCTGGCTAGATCCCAGCTGCAAAGCAGAAAAGTTTCTAAACACTCCCAGGAGGTCACTAAGAGAGATTTTTAGCAATCCTAATTTCACATGGGCTGGTCCAGCCCGATCTTACTAGCCAAGATAGGGCAATGGCAATCGGCCCCTGGGCAACTTTCAAAACACAAATGAAAGGCACACAAAGATAGTACAGAAGTCGCCGGCCTGGAATCGGGGTTTCTCTTTCTGTCCCTCCCCTCACTCACCCTCCTCCAAGTGGCCCCGGCAATGGAAGCTGGGGAAGGGGAGGGCAAGACCAGATTATGCCCTCTACTAAGGCCGCCCTGCGGCTGGGCGGTGGTGGGGACCTGGCGCTCATCTCCCCAGATACACGCCGCGCCCCCGGCCGGGGTCGGCGCCCCCACTGCCCCCCAGGCCCACTGCCGCATCTCACCATCACATAATGGCGCTGCATCTCCGTCTTCTCGTTTGCCAGCTTGTCGTACTCCACTTTGAGGCTGCGAGGGCAGAAAAAGCCGGCTCAGGCCTGGCGCCTGGGCAGCCTCCTCCGAGGCCCCGACCCAAGGGCCTCGGGAGCCACTTTTCCACTTCCCTGACACCCTCCGGGGGCGCCCTCTTATCCCACAGCCAGGGGACGCGGGGGGATTTGGGTCCCCGCCGTGGGGAGGGGGATGTGAAACAATTCGAAACTTCCCGCGGCCCAGTCAGAGGACTTATCACCGCCGCAGGGGAGCAGGACCCTGACGCTGGCTCCCCACACCCAGAACCCGGAGTGAATCCGCTCGCCGCGACCTAGACCCTCATTCGGGGATCCCACAGGCGGCGCTGGGAGCCGGGCGGCTGCGGGCAATAAAGGGTTAAGGCGGCGCGCTCGGAAAGGGGAAACAAAAGGCGGAGGCCCGGGCTGCCCCGCCGCCCCTGGGTCAGGAGCCCCCTCCGTCCCCGCGGGGGATGGCAGGAGCCGCGCAGGGGCCGCCCCTCCCCGCCAGCCCCGGGGCGGCCCCCACCGGCCTTACCTGTGATACTGAGCTTGCAGGAACTGGAATTCGTCTTTGATCCTGTCACAAGACTCAGCCACCGTGAATTTAAATCCCGGCTGCCCGGGTTGATGGGGAGCCTGGAGCCCGCGAAGACAAGACAGGGGAGGGGGCGGGGGCATGAGACGGCTCTCAGAGCGGCCGCGGCCCCGGCCCCTCCCCGACGGCGCCCAACCAGAGAGGCCACCCTCAGCCCAGAACCTTCCCAGCAAGTTTCTCAGCTCTCCGACAGGGAGGAGGGGGGGCGCCCCATCTCTCCCCGTCGGCAGCGGGGCTCCCATGCCTTTCACCAAGGGCCTCCCTCTCCCCAGTAAGGCGGGGGCGGGAGACAAGCCGGGTGAGTTGGGAGACTTAAGAGCTGGGCCGGGGACCGCGTGAACAGCTCCCCCTGGAACACAGGCAGCCCCCCGCGCCACTCGCGCGGAATTAACCTCCTCTCTCAACGGCGCCCCCCGGCCGCATCCCCTTTGTGTGAGAGCACACGCACAAACACACACCATAAAGGTAGCAACAAGCAAAATGGAGGTGCCAGATAAACTGCCTCGTTTACCCTGCCATGATAGATGCTTAAATAAACCGAGTTGCAATTACTCACCGGATGTCTGCCCTGCGGATACATGGCAGGGAGGGGTCGTGATTCCGAGAGCGTGGAAGCGCCGAGAGCCCGGGCCGGGGAGGTGCGGGGGAG